AACCATGGACCTTTGAGGGTCTATATAACATTTCACATAAATTTTAGAAATTTTGGGATTAAATAACTTCATAAATCATTTCAAAATTTAAAAAATAAATCAAAACTCTATCAAATAACGAAGTCATATATTTCAATCTAATTTTAGATTAATTAAGTTTCATTAGGAATTTAAAGCAATTTATTTTGCATTTTTTATTTTTTGTATTTAGTTATGAATTTTGGAAGCTTTATAAGATTTTTTAAATTCCTTTTAGATTATTTAAATAGTTGACAGCTGACTGTGCAACTTTTCCACGTAGCATCTTGTGATTGGATTCATCGTCTTGGAGTAGGAAAACTGGCATCCACGATGCATGTAGGCATTAAATGGCTTAGATAAGACTTAGGTTGGTAGATTTGGGTTGAGTGAATGTGAGTTTAATGCAATAGTGGATATCATATCCATACTCGATAATCTAATGTCTCCTTGATCGTCTTCTTCATTGAGCGAGTAATCACAATTATCTATGAGGATTGCCATGGACTTTGTTGGTGTCTTTGAAGGAAGCGGATAGATTTTGATCTCAATCTCCTCATGAGTTCCCTTGCTCCTGCCAATCAAGAGATATAGGGTTTTTTGCCCAAACAACCATTGACAAGAGAGCCTAGGACTTTCTAGGTTTTCAAGGGGTGTATCTCACCGGAGCAAATATCTATTGGTGAGACTATAGTAGTACCTTTTGTTTAGCAAACACATATACCATTGAGAAAGAAATGATGTTTGCAACTACTTGGACTGCACCAGATGTTGACATGGTCATAGGTTTGGTGGAGCTCCTTGCTTTTTGATGCCAAAATACGGCCACAAAAGGGGAAGGAATTAGGATTTCTTTCAATCCCTAAGCTCTCGAAATTTGACCTCATGTCTCAACTCTATCCTCTCTCTTTTGAAAATGAAAAGCCCAATTCCTTTTAGATGAGGGTTCAAAATGGGGTCATTTTGTAGAAAGTCATTCATTCCCCCAAGTCATTATCAATCAACGACTAAAACCTTTTACCTTCCCGATAATGGCTTTGACTTCCTAGAAGGAGCAAAGGATCGTGGGAGAAGGGAGCTAAGGCCATTGAGCTCAGCAGTTGCTTCTCTTTTGCTTGCTCTAGCCGTTGGATCGAATGGCTTTATTGGAAAGGCTTGAGAAGACCAACAACAACAACAACAAGCCTTTATCCCACTACGTGGGGTCGGCTACATGAATACTTTTTCTCCATTGTGTCCTATTAAAAGTCAAATTCTCGTTTAAATCTAATAAAGAAAGGTCGTTCCTAATATTTTCTAACCAAGTCTTTTTAGGTCTACCCCTACCTTTCTTAACATAAGTCAAATCTAATACCTCTACTCTCCTAACCGGGTCATCGGAAGGCCGTCGTTTTATGTGACCAAACCATCTAAGGCTTGAGAAGACCAAGGAAAAATATTTGAAAGCTCAATTGGGTAATGGCTAAGCCAAATGGTCTACTTGAGCACCCATTTAGGTAAGGGTTGACCTAGTTTAGATATTGTCGGCTCAATTCACATGAATTAAGCCGATTTGGATTGGATTGAGTAAATGATTGAGTCAACACAGGGCATTGTGGTGCTCATATAGGTCTGATTGATAGCGAGCATGGCCGTCTATTGGGGCGTGGGAGGGGTGAGGGTAGGTTAGGATTGGTGGGGTAGGGGGTGTGATTTCTTTCCTATGACACTCTCACTTTGGTTGCACCAATCATCATTTTAAGTTATTTTGGGCAAAATTTGGTTATCATCTTTCTGACCAACAAACTTTTGGGCCATCTATTGTTATTGAGTATTCTCTTATTACCACTATTTATTTATTTTATATCATACTCTTGCAAGAGGACTATAATCATTTGATTCGTATCTCTCAGACCTTTGTATTTGCTTCTCATGTTGTTTCTCCTAGTCCTACGACAACTATCTCCTTAGATATGCTACAAATTTTTATGCTCTTTTCACATGAACTTTCTTCTTCTCGTGCTTGTGATTGATTGGTCCCTTGTCATTAGAAAAAGGTTTGGTAGCTCTTTAAAAATTCTCTCTCTAATGTTTTATTTCTATTTTTTTGTGTAAATTTATTAACTTTCACTCTCTCACTAAGTTTCATAATTTTTTGGTAATCTTATGTTCCACCCTTCTGTGCCTTTTAGGATCTCAACTTGACAAAGATTTTGTGAAGCAGTTGACATTGGTTTGGTCTACTACTTGACTACATTTGTTCCTCACAACCTTTCCTCCATTCTTATCTCTTTTCATTAACATTGTTGGCTAGGTCATCGTCTTCTTGAGCGAGTTCAGTATTTTGTTTTGATTCTTCATTTGTATTCAAATTTGAGATGGATCAACACCATCATGTGTCATGTCCTTTTTTAACTACAAGTGTTCGTCTTCCTTTATTGAGTTAATTCACTCAAATATTTGAGGTCTTTATCCTATCTGTAATCATGTTGGTTTTTGTTATTTTGTTACCTTTATTACTGATTTTTCTTATGTTACTTGGGTTTACTTAAATGTCACTCGAAGGTCCTTCATCTATTTTAAAATTTTTATCAAAAAGTAAAATTAGTTTCCTTACTAATGAAAACCTTACATATCAATTGCACTTTGGAATTCATTCTTTTTCAATCTTGCATCTTCTGCCATGCTGATGGTATTTTCATCAAATTTCATGCATTTTATCTTTCAATATAATGCTATTATTGAACCCAACAATTGTCACCTCCTTGTTGTTGCCAAGAGATTGATGTTTTGCTTGAATACACATTGTTAGATTCGGGGAATGTTTTCTTGACCGTTTGTTATCTCATCAATCAAATCTATTCTCCATTTCTCAACCACATATCCTTCTCTTCACTCTTATCCTAGTTAATTTGTTTCTCCTTACACCATAAATCTTTAGCTATAGCTACTTTGTTCATGCATTTCAGACACAAGATAAACTCTCTCCCCATTCTATTTAGTGTATTTTCTATGTACTTTTGCACTTAGGGAGGTCACAGTTTTTATTATCGCCTTAAATGACTTCTATACATGTCCATTTATATAACATTTATGAGACTATACCTTTCTTTTCTCCCTCCACCACTCTTGGGTCATCCTTATCACTGTTTTCTGTTCCTCCAAAAGCTCCTCTTCCCACCTCTACACCTCTATATAGGTATACATCCAATGAACTCAACCTCCATCTAGCCAACATCTCCAACCACTTTTTTTTATTCAATTGAGCATTCACTAATTGATCAACCATTTAACTTATATTTATCTATTGCCCTCTAGTGAGGTAAAATGTAACATATTTCTAATCTTATTCATTATTATATTTCATTTGATCATTTTTTCACTAAGTTTCATAACTTTGCCTTGTCTCTGTCATCTGTATCCATTCCTGGAACATCAAGATGCTGTCCAAAATTCCTTTATAGAAACATGCTTTGGATGTTAATATGGATACTCTTTTTAGTTGTTATACATGGGATTTGATTTTAATTGCTCGGATGTTCATTGTTGAATTTCATGGTGATGTATTTATTGATCGCTACAAAATACGGTTAGTTATTAGAGGGTTCACTTAGGTCTATGAGATAAACTATTTTCACATTTTTTCCCCTATTGCATGACTAAACTCTGTCTGCATTTTTTTGTTGACAGCCACCATTCAAGTTTGAATTATGCTACATATGGATACAAGTATGTTTTCTTTTATGGTGACTTGCATGAGGCAATTTATATGAAATAATCTCCTCGATATGTTGCTCAGGGGAAGAATTATTTATGTACTAAGGAAGGCTATTAATAGCCTTGAACAAAGTTCACAAGCTTGATTTGACTAACCTTGTAAAGTCCTGATTGATATTGATCTTCAGTGCACTACAAATAATTTTATAAGAAAGTACATTCACACAATGCATGGAGACAAAATTTCCTAATAAATTTTTAATATTATGGGTTATATAACTGTTTTAATATTTATTATATGGTTTTTTTTTTCAAATGATGAAATTGATAAATTATTATGTTATTTTGATAAGTTAAAATTATTAATATTTATAACACATTTCATAAATGTTTAGTTTAACCGATTAATACAGCATATTTGAATTATATCAATAATTAAATTTCTTTATTTTGATGAAAAATTAGTTAAATTTAGTTTTAGGACTAATTTAAGCCTTCTAATAAATCTGTAAATATAATATTTTTTAACTTTTAGCATTTTAATTAATTAACTGTAGCATGAATTACTTCATTAACTATAAATCATATAATATATTAAAGAGTTCCAATTTGAAAATAATTTTTCATCATATGTAAAACTTCAATGATAGAGGCCATCTTTTTTTCTTTTAAATTTGTAAAATTAAATTAAATCTTTTAATATTCAATGAAAATAAATTGATCGTTGAAGTAATTATTTATATTAATTAATTAAGAGAGACTGCTATACTTAGAAGAGTTTATACGATATAAGATTATATTATATATTAAATAAATTTGATAGATGTTATTTGACATTTTTCTTCATGATAATTTTAGATATTTTTTCCCCATCAAAGGAATTGCAAATTTAAAGTTTTAGGAGGGCTACAGTTTGAAATGAAACTCTCTTTCTGTTCTAGAGTTTTGGAAGAAACTTTTCAATTAATAATATGTAAATAGTTTGATTAATAATTGTTAGTTCTATATTCTTTAAAATTGCAGACATTTCTTATCATTTTCGATGAATCTGATGCCTCTTCTCTCCAAGTTCTTTCTCCATTTTTGTAATTGTAGATCTTTGTTTAGAATTTATGGGATAGGACTAACCAGTTTTTACTATGCCAATCTTGTCTTAGGAAAGTGCAGTAATTTGTGATGCTACACTAGTCTCGCTTGTCCAGTTCCTAAACTTTTAAGCTAACAGTAAGAAATTGATTCCTTTAAATAATCACTTGTCTAAGCTTTGAACTACATTGTCCATATAGGTATGTTATGGATGAATTAGGTTCAGCTTTACGACACAGCGAGAAGGCAAACTTCAGAGTTGCACCTTTTCTATTCATGCCTGAAGGAAAGCTTCAATCAGCTGTGAGGTATTTCTCTTCTGTATTTGTGCTATTCCACTTGGTTTTTTGGCTTATTTTCTGGTAGTTTTTTCGCCGCTTTTTGTTACTTTCTGTTTAACCTTGTCATAATCTTATCTATGTAGATTCCTATATTGCACTTATTTTGAATTTCGGTGGAGACTTGTGAATTCCTTGCAAAACTTTTATAATTCGTGATGTTTTACTTTTTTTTTTTTCTGGCTGATGCTAGTTCCTAGAGCTTCAATAACATATGAAGATTTCTTGAGTTTCAAAACATGTAATATGCATTTTTTAAAAATTTCTATAGGACTGCATATAAGCACCACGATTCATCTTCAACATAACATGTATAGGTTTTTGGAAGATCCAGATTTAAAAAGGGTCATCTTTTAGGCAAGCATGTTAGCTCGGCTTGTTGTGGTAGTATTTACTTCTAGTGCATGGTGCCATATTTACCATGGAGTCAGTAGTTAGGAAGGCAATATTAGTTCCTACGTTAATCTGATTTCATTTGATGAAATAAGTCAGAAGTTAGTATAATGAATAAAAAAAAATTAAACGATAGATTGCATTAGTAGAACAAAGACCAGTTAAATGATATATAAATTTGATGGGTGTTATACTAACAATTATCATACAATGTTATTTGGAGACTGTTGATCTTGGTGCTTGGATTTGTTATAAAAAATATGATATTGATGAGAATATTACCTCTAGAGTTTAGGTTGAGTGGTTAAAATTGGGAAGTGCTTCAAGAGTATAATGTGATAAGAAGAAATCACAAAATTGAATAAATTTCAATTAGTTCAACAATGTTATATGGGTTTGAGTATTGGGCAGTAAAAAAATCGTTAAGAACTTAAGTTCATTGTGATGGAATTGAGAATGTTAAGATGGAAATGTGAAAAAATAAGAAGGGTAAATTATAGAATGTATATATAGTAGATGAATAATTGGAGTCTCAATCATTAAAGATAATATATTTAAAAATAGACACATGATTTGGAGAGGTATGACAAAAGGTAAAAAATACTAAATTAGATGGGTTAATAAAACCAGTTAGAGAGTTAGGAAGGAGAGAGTAGATCTATGGTAACATGGACATAAGCTTATCAAAATGCTTTGTCTCGAATAGGTTTAATTTTTTCAGGAAACACTTAACGAGAGCAAATGGAAAATGAGGATTCATGAAGTGACCCTAAATGTTTGGGATATGGCTAATAATGATGATGAATTTTATCTGATAAATAAATGAGTCCATTCTATATGTGTTAAACATGATTCTAAAACGTCACCCAGGCCATTGGGTCTATTTACACATCAATACGCTCCATTACTTTGGAGTTAAATGTAACAATCGATGGGAGTCAGTGAGTGGCGATTCTATGCATTTTTATATATCGTATTCTTAGGAAGTACTATAATGCAAAAGATGTTTTCTAGCTTCATTTAATATGTTAGATGCAAACCAAAGACTGTTAATATTTTCCTTTTGTTGATTTAGCTGAGCTTGGTTTTTACTAAAAAGTTGCGATGGAGGATTTTAATGAGTAATGATCTTACTTTGCACCTATGTTGTTGCTAGCCAAAGAATTAAACTCTTATGTTCCTTCTAATTGTTGTAAATCCTTTTTTCCCTTATACCATATCTTGAGCAATTGTGTCTTTAATTCCTTGGAATCTAATATATTGAAGAGGGATGATTTTTGTGGCTTGTCTAAATCACAGCAGAATTGAAATGTAGTCTTAATGTAGAAGATTGCTTTTTTGTTTTCTTATTTTTTTGCCCCTTTTCCATGAATATGTAGTAATTTCTGCATTCTTACTATCTCTAATATCTTGCATAAGATACTGTTCTTGAGCTTGGAAAGTCAACAAAGACTAATGTTTTTGTTGCTGTGGTTGTTTGTCTTCTTGATATACTTTCATGCATGGTTGAAGCGTGCTATTTGCAGCTACTCGGTGTTGTGGCCAACTCTAGATGTCAATTATGGGGATGAATGTACTCGTGATTTTTTGTTTGGCATTGGAGAGGAAAAGCAACGTTCAGCTAGGCTTACGGCATGGTTTCATACACCTGAAAATTATTTTACTCAGGTGCTCGTTTATCAATCTTTCCCCGTAATTCCATAATTCAGTAGGTGTTGCTGGAACTTCTTTTCATTGTGCTTTCATTTTTTAACAGGAGTTCAAATATTACAAGCGCCAACTTGAATCAAAAGGTCTTTGTCCTACTAATAAAAAGCCTCCTATAACCAAAGGTATACTTCCAAGTAACGGGCACCCTCTCTATGTATATACCGACATACCACAAGTAGAGGAATTTTTAAGCCGCCCAGAGTTTGTTCTGAGTAAGTGTTTCTAGATACTCTTCATGCTCATACAAATTTATTTATTTCGATGATATTTGACATGCTTTTTGTGTTCTTTTTTTCCTTATTTCTTATTGGTGAATGCGTATTTCTAGAAGTGTTCCAAAAAAATTATGTAGATTCTATCTTGCAGAGGTCTAATGCTATTGCTATGAATCTTTGGTTATTTGATAGAGACATACTTCATGGAAAGTTGCATTGAAGTATTTTTCCATTTTTAATGATTCTGTATGTTAGTGATAGTCATGCATTTTTTTGTCTAGGATCTGCTGAATTTTCATCTTCTTCATTGTTGATCATATTATTTTGTTTTCAGCAACGGATCCGAAGGATGCTGACATCATATGGGCTAGTATGCAAGTTGATGAGGAAGTAAGAAAGGCGGTTGGGATTAAAGATAACCAATATATAAATCAATTCCCTTTTGAAGCTTGTTTGGTCATGAAACATCATCTAGCTGAGACTATTCATGAGGTCTGTAAATTCCGTGATTAAATGCCAGCCTTAATCTTTATTATTGATTTGAAACTAATTTTCTTTGCTACTAATAATTCTAATATTTGAAACTTAACCTCTTGAAACTAATTTCATCATGAATTAATTCCAAATAATGGTGAATTAGATTTTGACTTTGTTTCTGAGTAAAATCTTTGTAGTTTGGTTTTTGAACATCGAGGACTAATCTTTTTTAAAAGGATGTGAATTGGGAGACACCATGGTTGGCAATTATGTCTGAAATTTGAAATTCGCATGAGAGGCTCAAAATCAAAATTAATGTGCTTTGACTTGATTAAAATGCATATATATATATATATATATATATATATATATATATATATATGTGTGTGTGTGTGTGTTTGTTTGTTTGTATTTACTGAAGATAGGAGTTGTAAGCTTTTGACAGCATCTTGAAGGCATGTGGTAATTGGTTTCAAGTTACTTGGGATTTTCAGTCTTAATCATTTGAAATGCTTCAATGATGCATTGAATAGCTTATTTAGCTTTTTTCATTTGCTTTATTATTTCAGAATCGTCTTTACATACAATCAATATATAGTCTGCCTGCTCCCAGATCTCTATTTGCAATACTTTCGCTGGTGTCAACAATGAAACGTTTATTGCTTCCATAACCTTTGACTTAATGGACATGCGTGATTACCAGTGACAAATAAGATGTCATTTATTTTCTTCAGTCAGTACAAGTATGGCATTTATCTGTTTAAGCCATTGACACGATGTGTCAGTTTTCTGTTTCTGTATGATTCACTTTTTTTGCTTGTTTCTTTCTTTCCCCTTCGTATCCAAACAGGCCCATGGTTCTCCTGAATGGCTTCAGCCTACATATAACTTAGAGACGCATCTTTCTCAACTCATAGGAGATTACATTACGAGGAAACGGGTTGGCTTTGACAACTTATGGATTTTAAAACCATGGAATATGGCAAGGACGATTGACACTACTGTTACAGATGACATATCCGCAATCATCCGTCTCATGGAGACTGGCCCTAAAATATGCCAAAAGTATATTGAACGCCCAGCGTTATTCAAGGGAAGAAAATTTGACCTTCGCTACATAGTCTTGGTTCGCAGCATGAAACCTGTAGAAATTTTTCTTGCTGATGTTTTCTGGGTAAGCCTTTTGTTTTAATGAGCCCAAAGTAATTATGCTCCATTTAATCATTGTTATATTGATGCTTTTGAGATTTTTTCATCCTAAATATGGCATTTGTTAATCTTCAATCTTCCCTGTCACAGGTTAGGTTGGCTAATAATCAATTCACCCTGGAAAAGAGCAGTCTTTTTGAGTATGAAACTCATTTTACAGTGATGGTGAGTTTTTTCTTGGAGAGAAAGGTCAAGATTATCCCTGAACTATTTGTGGGGGGCTATTTTAGTTCCAAACTATTTAAATTATTCAATTTAAGCTTTATTTGGAATAGCTTTCTTACTAGTTAGCTTTTCAAACCCCAACTGCAGTTTTTGTTTGGTCACTATTTTTAACTTCTTTCAATAAATTTTTGTGCTAGGAAGCTGCTTTCAACAACAGCATTCAAAAAAACTGCTTTCTCCATTGTAACTTTACAACTATTTTTATAAAATTTGCAGCTGTCTCAAGCAGAATCTTAGTCATTTAACTCATCAAACATGATTCAACCTGGTCCCATAGTTATAATTGATGCTTACTTTAATAGAAAATTCAAGCAAAGTTCGTAATTGAGGTGTAAATGAGGTGGCGGGATAAGGGAATATAACCTAAAAGAAGATCTGTAAAACTTCAATTTTCAAAATAATCTTATTCCCCGTCTTATTCATGAACTGTGTGAGATTTCAATCAAATTAAATAGTGATTTTAACTGTAGGATTATTATTTGAGGACTCTAAGTGTTTAAATTAGACATTTAAATAATATGTGACTATAATGATCTTCCACAGATAGTCTGGGGATCATTTTAATGATCTTTCTCTTTTTTTGTTGACTTTGGAATATTAATTGATCTTTTCTTCGCTAGGCTTTTTGCTTTTAATTTGTTGTCAAGGCATTAATAGGGCTAATGATAGTACATATACTGAATATACCTTGAGCATAGCCAAGCAGCCAGTTAAATTAGGATAACAATTTCATTTTTTTTTCTTTTAAAGATACAATTTTTACGATATTCACTAAAATTTTTTTCTTACTTATCATCTTTCAAAATATTTTTTAGTTTTTGTTTTTTTTGAAAAAATTTGTGTTTGAGTAAACCAAGCTGTCTGAAATTGGTTTATTCCTTTATACAGAATTACATAGGAAGACTAAATCACATGAACACGCCAGAATTTGTGCAGGAGTTTGAAGAGGAACATGAAGGTCATTGTCCGCTTTTTTTCTACTCTGATTCCTGAAAACTCTGGTAGTTATGGCATTAGTTGGATTTTGCATACTATCATTTGATTATGCATTCTGCACTGCAGTGAAATGGTTTGACATACATAAAAGAGTAAGGACTATGATCAGATCTGTGTTTGATTCAGCAGCCACAGTGCATCCTGAGATGCATTCACCTTTTTCAAGGGCTATGTATGGGGTGGATGTTATGTTGGACCATTTGTTCATGCCAAAGATTTTGGAGGTAAGAATCGCTTTTGTTATTTTGTTTTTGGTAGGCTGATTTTACTGCAGCAAAGAAAGTATTTATAAGATTAATTTTCACTAGTTATTTAATACAGTTTTTTTTAAAAAAATGAAAACATCAAGCTGCCTTTATACTTTATGCTCATGGTGTATGCTTCATTTCTAATTGGTAAAATTGTGAAAGTAAAGTGCCATGTTGGACCAAATGGGATGAAAGATTGGTTGGATGCACCAATGATAACATTTGTTTACAATCCAAAAGCTTAATCCTATGAATAATTGTCTACATCTTGGTATTTCTACATCAAAATATTTTTCAACTATCTGATGTTAGATTAAAACTAATTGTTAGTTATGTGTGGAATCTAATAGTGTCGATCAATCGTGTTGTACTATTGACATAGATTTTAATTTTTTCGATCGAGCTCGTCGAGGCCTGTCACCTAAATTTTTTTCCCGTACAATTATATAATGCCGCAATGCTATATACTCTAGTTAGGATTGTCAATATTTGACCCCATTTGAAACCTGACCTAGATCTGACCCAAAAAATTTTGGGTTCAGGTCAACATGTTTGCCATACAGGCCTGCTTCATGTTCGAGATTCTGACCCATTTTTAAAATCGAGTCGGGTTCAGGTTGACCCGGAAACTTGAAGGTGACCCAAATTAACTTGGATCCCTGGTTGCGATCTCCTGCTACCTTGCTCGTGACAACTTTCATGCGTTCGCGACCTCACAGGCTGTTGGCTGCGCTCTCCCTCTCGTAGTCTCGCGCTCGCATCCAGATCCGCTCCCGTGCCCACTATGCGTGACTTGTCTGCACCTGGACGGTCGGATCTGCACCCGCATTGAGCCTACTCCCTCGTGCCCGCTCTCCCTCTTCGCACCCTTGATCACTCGCTCGCGACCCCTTCGCTCTTATGCGCCTGTGCGTCCTCACTCGAGTATGAAGTTTTCAGCCGTTTACAAAATCGGGTCGGGTTTAGGGTCAACCTATTTGGACCCGAGTAAATTCCTGGTTTGATTCGAACTCGACCCGAATACCCATGTTGACACCCCTAACTCTAGTGTTGCGGCATTTTATACTCAAGCTGGTTGAAGACAGGGAGTGGAACGTCATGGCGCTCTAAACCCTAGTGCCGCAGCATTGCGATTTATGCTAAGAGAGTGGAGCGCTGTGGAGCGCTGCGGCGTTCCAAACCCAGCATTGCAACACTATGAGTTGGTCTTAACAGTTTTTTTTTCTCGTTTTTTCATATTTAACTTGAAGGGTTGCATTCCTTGGGGTGGTTTTATGAGTGTTTCTTTATCAGTTTTGTGAATAGAATAAAAGTGAAGTGAAGAGAGATGCGAAGAGAGTGTGAGAGAAAGAGATTTGTACAAATTCATCAAAATTATCATAGTAGATTTCTTGGTGTGATGTGGCTCCATGGATTTTTCCTGATTTCAGGTTTTTCCACGTTAAATCCTAATGTTCTTTCTTTTCGCTACATTTCTCTTTTTTTTTTTGTGTTCGTTACATGATTTATTCCCAACACTAATACTCTGATGTAAGCACACTAGATAGAAAAATCAAACAAGGAGAACAAAGGGCGAAACTAGACCAAACTTGATTCAAATAGTAGCAATCATCTATAACATCCAAAATCCGACGAAGAAAACTAGAAGAGAATTCAAAGAAACAAAGAAAAAAAACAACGCTATCCTCAGACAACCGTCAGAGCGGGTTCCTCACATGCATTGAAATGTAGGTTAAGTAAAATAAGTGCTTAGGGCTAGCAAATCGATGGTCCACCACTGCAAGATAGTCCAACCGTCCAATCCAAACTCCAGCAAATGTTCCCAAATCAGCCAACAAATACCACCAAAGCTCAAGAAGAAGGATCCAAAAAGAAAATACATAAGTTAGCAAAGCCCTACATGGGGTCCTGGTTTGGTACCCATTGGGTACCCATGCTTTACTCAGACGAGCTTCGCCCACCCACGCCCACCGATGGTGACTTTCGGGATGTCGTACCCACCTATACCCACCCACTTTCCATGCTTTTTGAACGCAGTTTGCCACATATTGATGTCATTGAGGCTTGTTGTCCTTTGCTCTGATTGCAAACTTTCAAGCCGCAAATCAGAATTTACCGTAGCCGCAGCGTGGTTTAGTGCTGCACACTGCATAGTGAGGATTGTGGTAATATAAGATATACGGTGATTAGCAATGTAAATCGATTTATCCTGCGATATTGAGTACCCATCCATAAGGCCATGGGCGTACCCATACCATTGGGTGTGGGTATGTGTACCCAATGCAGGGCTCTGTTGTGCAGTATTTCATTAGAAATGAAGGTAGGGAAGTAAAAGCTTGAAAAATATAATCCCTTTGTCTTAGTGGCCATTTGTAGCACCTGTATGTTTACTTTAAGATCTCCAAATGATCCATACTTGTAGAAATAATGCCATTATGGAACCCTATAGAATGTACTAACTAAATTCATGATTATTTATCTAATCTACTGTATTTATTGCTCCAAATTTCAGGTAACATATTGTCCTGATTGCAGTAGAGCATGCAAGTATGATACCAAAGCTATTGTTGGAGATAGGGCTGTTATGAAGGGTCATGAGTTCTTCAATATTGTGTTTGGCTGCCTCTTCCTTGATGAAATGAATCATGTAACGCCATTGTAACTATGTGGATATCAAAGGTTTTTGATGTTTTATACTTCACTTTGTTGAATCAAGAGCATCTCTGTTACCTCACTGGTTTTTTCCAGTCATTTATGAATTTGAGTTTTTGGCGACTGAGACCTCGTTTGGGATGGATTTTCTATTGCTTTTTGAAGCAGCTTTTTAGTGCAAAAAATTAATTTTTATACTAAAAAGCTGATTTAAGAAGAAGTAAAAAAATCGTCCCAAATGAAACTTGAGTTGCACAAAGAGAAATGCTGCCATTGAATAACTGTATGGGCTGTTAATAGTTTGTCAAAATGGTCATGTATGAATTGGTTGTCAAAATGCGTTTTAGTTTGTTGGGTCTTTGATTCTCCAACATGCTGTTGATCTGGTGGATTAAAACCTTAAATCAGAGGTATTAAAATGAGTTAACAGATTGGGTTTGAATTTGACTCGAAATTTAACTTAATTTGAATATAATTGACTCGAATTTAACCTGTGTAACAAACAAGTTAGAAAGGTAGATACGATCGGAAATTATATTTTGATTAAATTTTTTGATAATTTGTTAACTATAGAGCATATGTTAATTGATTAAAAATAAGAAGAATATATCAACATATAAAAGAATTTTAGGAAAAAATTTAAATGGGTCACTATTGTGTCGAAATCAAGTTTCGTATCAACATGAATCTCTCTCACCCTATTGAAAAGTTTTAGATCCGAACACAACACGTTTATCAAAATAGTACAATTTAAATTCGAATTTTTTAAATTTGATTGTTGGATTGGATAATTTATTGACAACTTTAATGCTCTTATTGTAACATATTCTATCAAAAAAATGTCCTCTCAAGTGGTGAACTTCAAAACCCAATGTCTAACGTTCCTTACTACATTTCGAAATATTTGAATTGTCTCTTTTATTTCCATCAAAATATTCGCATTTGCGGCTTTCCTTTATATACATCAAATAGCTTTGAAACAAACTATATCAAAATCCCTCAAATTCATATCCCACATATCATAACATTAATTTGAAAGTGTTACTCACATATTAGGGCATTTACAATCGAGAAACTCATTTTTCACTCCAAAATACAGTAATATTTCAAAATGCAATAACTGATCTCCAATCAAACTTCGCTTCCTTACACAAAAAAAAAAAAAAAATTCTATATATGTATTCTTTCTCAAATTTTTATATTTATTTCTTAACACAAAAAAGTGATGTCGGTGATAAGATATTTTGTTCATTGTCCGTTGCAACTTCCCTTGTGAACTCCCTTCACCTTAGCATTCCGCTAGTCCCGCCAATACCTCCCAATGTGCTCCTCCAACATCTTTCGCTTTTCTTCGATAGTTTTTTGATGTTAGCGAGGAGCTGGAGGAGAGGATAGAAGACAAGGGCACATCATAAAATATGCAATTGCCAAGGTAATTGAATCCCTTTCATTAAAATGTTCGAATCATGTTTATAGATTCATAAGTATTTCATTAAAATGTTCGAATCATGTTTATAGATTCATAAGTATTTCAAAAGCAGGTTCTTTGTTTGAAACATACTATTTGTTAGAGATTAAGGTTTCGTACTGTTTTATAAAACAACTTTTTAGTATAAAAATTTTTTGTACTAGAAATTTTTGTGCTAAAAACTTGTTTTAGAAAACATTAAGAAAGCTGTCCCAAACGAAGCCTAAGGCTTGTTTGGTTTAAATGAATTGAAATATTTGAAATAAACAGAAATAGAAATAAAAAACCACAAAAAATTTTCTCTTTTTTATTTAAATAAATCTTCACCTATAAGTTAGGTTGAGGATGAATTGAGTAAAAATACATATTTTTATTTTATTGAAAGGGAATAGTCTGCTTGTTTCCAATTAAGAGGATATGCAAGCCACAATAATAATACAAAATTGTCTTTATCTAATTTTTATTAGATTTTGATAGTGAATTATGAACAAGAAGCAACTAAAATGTTAGTGCCTTCACATGTGGTCATGGCAAGGAAGAGAAAAATACAACAAGACTAAGACACTATTAGATAGAATGTACATCACAACTCCATGGTAGACATATGAAGCTATCGCTGAAAATAAAAACATGATACTAATGTATATTTACGCAAGTGTGTACCATATTCATTTATATATATATCTATGCTTGTCCAATGGCAAGTGGAACAATATCGGCCGAATTGAAGGCATCCCCACGTCACCATTCATCGCCGAAAACCGGCACACTTGACATGTTGCTTGCCGCTATAACCACGGATCCACACATGTCAGTGAAATAAATGTCTGCACTCCGGCAATAGTCTTAAGACCTCATCACCATCCTCCTCCTCATAGTTGACAAGGCAGATCGAGAAGCAGCTGAAGGCGATCACCCATGGATCTTGATGCTTGGCTTCAGCATAGGCGAGCTTTGGCCAAGTCCTCAGCGCATCGTTGAGCCCAATCACATTCCTGTCTGGCTGGTGGAGGGGTGGGGAAGGGGAGGCGGCGGAGCGATAGCAGAATAAGTAAATGATGAGGATGATGGTGGTGACAACGAAGAGGATGGCAATGGAGATGTCAATGGAGGGGCCTAACTTAGGAATTGTTTTGGAGGTGATGGTGGTGATGGAAGAGCCCACATTACTCATTGTGGAGGTGGGCGGGGTGAGGGGAAAGGAAGCCAGGAGCGGGGAGGAGGGTTTTATAGTGAAAACTTTAGGATTAATATCAACTTTTAATTAAATTTTTTTTTTAAAAAAGAACTATTTTCAGCCACAAATTTTTAGTCTCTGAAAAGCAAGCCATTCTAAATCGAGAGACTTAGATATGTACTAAACTTTGTTAGGTGAGATTTAAACATTTTTACTTCAAATATATAGTTTACTGTAAATCTATAATTCTTTATATAGTTTACATATTTGTAAGAAAAAATGTTTAAATCTCACATAACAAAGTTTAGTACATATCTAAGTCTCTCGATTTGGAATGACTTGCTTTTCAGAGATTAAAAGTTTGTGCAGCTTCGTAGACCATTGGAAGCCAATGTTACGAATAATTATTACATCCAGAAAAAAATCAAAAATCCAGACGTATACCGAGCTCCAGGTGACGTGGTGCGTGATTATTGGTCTCTGGACGTGTCTGGTGACCTGACGTAATAATTGCTCCAATGTTACAGGCGCCTTGAAGTGGCTTGAGGAATGGTAAATATTTATCCCTAGAATGAGCCAAAAAATGAGACAAACCTCATATCCATCCATTAAGGTGTTGCTCCTTTTTTATATTTATAGGTGGTGTTATATTTTGAAGTGCATGGATCTTCTTGTGTTTTGCTTCAATTCCTTTTAATGGGTGATCATGAATATAAAAAATTACTTGAAGTAACCCTAAAAGCACACTTATTTAGATTGAGACACATACTATAATGTTAGAGGAGGTGAAAACATTGCTTAAAGTAAAAAAGGTGTTGCGCTTTTGCAAAACTTCTAACCAATCTATCATCTACATAGACGGAGTCGGCATGCGACGGTGGTCGGAGGGATCGTAGTCGGTGGGCGACGATGGACAGAGGGATCGTAGTTAGCATGTGACAATTATCGAAGGGACTATAGTAGGCGGGAAACGATGGTCGAAGGGACCGTAGTTGGCTGGCATCCGAGTTCGGAGGGACCGTATTCTATGGGCAACGGAGGTCAGAGGGATCGTAGTCAAAAGGCAACGGAGGTTGGAGGTGCCGTAGTCGATAGGTGACGGAGGTCGGAGGGACCATAGTGGGTGGCCAATGATGGTCGGAGGAGCCATAGTCGGTGGGCGACGGTGGGCGACGGTGGTTTGAGGGGGCAACGGTGGTCAAAAGGAGGCCCAATGGTGGTGGTCGGACGGAGGTCTGACAATGATGGTTGGGTGGAGATTTAACAGAGATGGCCAGGCAACGAGGGTTCGTCGGCGGTGGTATCGAGGTCGAGCTCTGAGATTCTTCAAGTCTTATAGCTTTCTTGATATCTAGTCTAATGTCCAAGCTTCAAAAGTCCAAACCCCCCTTTCATGTTGGAAGTAGGGGTTTATTTATAGATTTTTTAGAGTTGCATGATATGTAAATATAGAGAAGATCAAGGGCAAACTCGGAATGTTCCATTGGACAGCCCATCGATTTCTTCAACCATAGAGTGTTCATGCAACATTTAAGTGTTTATGATATCAGAATTAAAAGATCTAGGCCTCGTTGGATTCGTCTAGTCGAGCCGCTTGATTTGACTATTTGCACGTCATATTTAGATATCATCATCATTTTTTTCTTTAAATCCTACAAGTATGCTTCAATCCCTTGATTTGGGCACATCTAAGTTTGAATTAGATCAATTTTGGTGTCGTTGTGTTTGTCTCACTGAGACATTCAAATTGATTATAAGTTTCCTTAAATTGGAGTTCAGGCAGTACCACATTTAATTTCATAAGTTCCTATTTAAATACACTTAAAGATTTGTGCTTGATAAAGACGATTTTTTGGTGATGCATCACTAACATTATAATTAAAAAAAAAGCCTAAACTTGTTCGTGGAAAATTAGAAAATATCACTTCAAAATAAAAGTTGTAGGAAAAAGATAAAGTGATGTACCTTCATATTAAAAAAAAAATCAAGCAAATTGAGCCAAAATAGAGATTCAAGAAACTATGGATAGAGGAAGTCCAATGGAAAATTTAGCAACTTTGGTCTGTCGATTTCTATCATAAGAGATATCTATTTTTATTTTTTTTTTTGTATTAGAAATTAAAAAAAAAAAAAGTTTTATTTGATTTGATTGATTTCTTGATAATAAAAATATGCCTATATAAAGACAAGAGAAGAGAGCAATAAAGGAAATATAATAAATTAAAACACACTTAATAATTGTTATATATATTTTGTTAATAAATAATATTGATTTCTACTATAAATATTAGACATGTTCTAATATGTATATGGCAATGAATAAATGCAACAACTCTAAGGGCTATTTGTTTTGGAGGAATTTGAAATTTGGGAGAGTTTTAATTATGATGTGTGGTTGTTTGTTAAAGAAATTTGGGAATTAACATTTTAAATTTAATTTCTTACAAGGTAAAATGAGTATTTAAAATAGGTGTGCTACCCTCAGATGTGCAATATTGAAGCCCTCTTATATTATTTGCGTTGAGTGTCACAAGTTAGTTAGGTCTCTATTAGAGCGCCTAGATGCAACTCAACTCCCTATGCACTATTTTAAACCCCTTTGTGGTATCGCTTTTCGGAGTGGTTGTTAGTTCTTTTTGTTGGTCCCCAGTGCTAATACATGAAGATCTCATCTTGCTAGCCAAGGGGTTATTGCTTTTCTCACTTTTTGTTGTACTTTGTTTAAGTATGAACCTACACAAAACATGGGCGGATCCCCATTGTGGTGCGGGGGGGAATGCCCACCCTAATAACAAAAAGAAATTAGAGGGGATATTTCTGAATATTTTGTATATTTTGGGTATTTTGCCCCGTCTTAAAAAAATTTTTTGTCCTAATTTTATCAATCGTAAGCGTCTTTGCCCATCCCCCACCAAAAAAAATTTTTTGCCCACCCTGAAAAAAGAAGCTGGATCCGCCCCTGACACAAAATATATATAGTAGTCTTCCCTCTTTTTACTTTATTTTGCTGAGGTTGATATCATGTAGGGGGTCCATATTAGTTTGTACTATCTTATATATTAAAGATGAACTAGGTGATGAGTTACAAATAGTCAAATACATCAAAATCAAAAGATTAATTGCATTTGCTTTCTTCCAACTAAACATCTGAAAATTCAAATCTCTTATTGTTGTTGTTTTTTTTTTTTTTCATTGCATTGTATATGCTAGTAGCCTGATGGCCCCTAAATAATTATAATAGTTTTAATGAAATAATGCCCCCCTAAAGAAATATGTAAGTAACCCTTCTTTTTATACATTCGGTGGGATCGCAACATAAATTTTGGTGGAAAGAATTCTAGCAATTAGAAAATTGTAAGCACTTATGGTTTGTAATCATATTGGCCATGGACCATTGACAATGTTTGTCATCAACCAATATCTATGCCTAAAGTCGGTCGACTATCAGCAATATGTAATAACCACTTATATACTATTTTGATCTACTTATGGTAACATGATTTGAATATGATAAAACTTGTATGTTTGTTTAGCATATGCTTTTTTTTTTTCTGTGAATTTTTAGAGATATTTCTATGCCTCATTTAATCGCCAAATTCCATGATTCTATTTGAAGGGAATTTCAATATGTTAAAAATAAAGCTTAGAGCATTCAGTTAATTTTTTTGAATGTATTTATGTCCAATCTATAAGCTGACTTCACATATTATAGGACACTTAACACTTTATTTTATATATATTTTTTATATTTTTATGAGTATCGTACGGGTGAAAATATAATATTTTCTTTTAAATTTGACTTATTTAAATAATTAGCACACATTTGTAAAAGCATATTTTCTGAAATCATCTGTGTATTTTGCAAATTGTTTTTCATCAAAGTATTCTAAACATGTTGTAGTATTTATTTAATATTTCTCATAATTTTGGATCTCTATTAATTTATAAAATGATTTATATAAATTTAATAATTAAAACTAAACAAATACCATATTTACAAATATATCCTAATATTATTTTCTTATATACATCCAAAAACTTAGTTCATTTTTTAGATTATTCTCATTATGTGGTTGTGAGGGAAATAAGAGAGAAAGCAATAGATAGAATAGAGAAAGATTGGGAATGAAAGTCTTAGAGTTGATTTCATTAACAAGAGATTTAGAAAATTTATTTGCTTGAGATAGGCTATAATATCGTACTTCAAATATTAATTTTATCACTCATGTGAACATTCTGATACTTTATTTTATCATATTCTATACAAACTTAGAGCAACGGATATTTATAACTTTTCAACTCATAAACTTCAATATGTTGTGGACTGAATTATTCTGATTATCAAGCATGTAAGATTTAAATTTTTATAGGATATTTTATGTGATATGATATTTTAGGCATTTTAGTGAGCATATTAAGACATAGAAATTCTCATAAAATAATAAATACTTCAGAATGATGTTGTAAAAATGGCATATGAATAATTTTATGATTTATACTATTAATACATGGATACAAATTTATCCTTTAAATCCTATTATTTTGTCATAAATATCAAATTTTATGTATTTTTGTAACATGCTAGACAATATTCATAAATGTTGAAAGTGTTAATAGATTCATGTTTATATATTTAAAAATGTGTGGAAATGCAGGGAAAAGAAAAAAATTCATGTTGATTGTTTTTGATAAGTGTCTGTGTGTCTAAATGATTATCCATTTGTATGTATTGATACTCCTGAATAGATATTAATGAATGTAGTTATAACTAAAAATGGAGTTATAAAGAGCAAAGACGAAATATGAATAAGTGGAGATATAAGTGGAAGTGTAGATATAAGAGGTGTAGAGAAAACCCTAAAATATTCCAAAATAAAATTAAAAAAAAAAAGATGTTAATACTTCCACATAATATTTATTTGATAATATAAAAAAGGTTCTGTATTTATAATTACTTTATTTCAACTTTAATATTTAAATATTAGTTATATAAAGAA